TGGTATACAAGACACGTTTTCATCATCAGACTGATGTCAATGGATGAAACTCAAAATCTTTTAGAAATCAAATGCAGTGTGCTTTGCTGAATCAGATGATAGCATAGTGTATATATTTCTGAATGCAAACAGTCATCAAAATCTACCAAATTCGCACGTCAATACTCATCGTTGAAGATTCAACTTAGTTTCATTCAGTTCCGAGTTGTTGTTCCGAAATGTGAATCACATAGCATGAACGGGTTGGCATTCTCATGAATATGTACATTGAGTAATCACAAAGAATTTTCAGTTTATCATGTGTTAGGACATGAAAATATCAGCTCGACAACTGAGAGAATCATTTCGTAATGTAATGTTTAGATCTACTTTAATATTCGTTGAATAAAATGTTAACCATTATGGATGTATTTCCATTCAAAGCCAAGTCGTTTAATGTGAATGTCAATGAATGTGTGCTGAATTTCCCATTGCGCGAGGTGATGACTAATTCCTAGTGAATAAAATAGTCGCCTAATTTTGAAGCCATCATTATATTATCGAGTTATAGTTATATTTATTGTTATCTTTTGTTTGATAACTTGTTATGCAATCACCCTATTCTTTCCACTGAAGATTGTCCAAAACACAATTCGAATGAAGCATGTCAAGACGCAACAACATCGAATACAACGTGTATTTGGTGTGAAACAGTCAATATGTGCATTACGAGCAATGATAAGGGTATTCATGAATTCAAAGTAAATGGTTGCAAGGTTAAAGTAAGTAATTGATAGACTTCACACATTGTTTCCAATATTACCACATTCTACATTCTAAATCTATTTACTCAGATGAACATTTTCTTGTTGCAAATAAGTAGAGTATTGTATACGTTGATGACGTTTAATCAGATATGAGTACGATGCTATGTTTCCACTTGGACATTGGACAATCAATAGAAGCGTCATTTAACACTTATGCTTAAAAAAACGTTGAATCTTCTAATCATAGAATGTGTAGTGATTCTCGATATCCAATATAAAACCGTCTGTATGTCTGAATTGTTACAAAATGCCGATGAGATCAGTTGAATGATGAAACATAATCTATTATAAATTCCGCATCATGTTTGGAAAGTGAAAGTTCATGAACTCTCATTGTTGAATTTCAAAACAGATATTCCTGATACTTTATTGAGAAACTTGTGTTCTGGATGGATTGCTTCAATAAAACCGTCAGTTATTGCTTTGTTCTTAATCATTTACATTGTGATAAAGTGAACCAACCGGGAAACAAATTTCGACACACGAATAAGTTGTCAGTTAGTTGTAGGATAATGTGTACTTATCACATTGACTGTCAAATCAGTAGCACATATTCTAAATATATTATATATATTATTCATTGATCATATTGTGCCAATGTGAATTATGTAACTAATTGTTGAATTTACTTGTTTCATCAATACTGACAAAGGTGTATCATGAATGATGAAATATTTGATATTCAATTGTAATTCCACTGTTTCCTTCTTACAAAGAGCTCGACTGTCAACGTTGCCAATGAACCAACAACTCTAGCAACTACTGAAACTGATTTGAAGCAGACTAGTGGAAGCACTGAATCAGATTTGGTAAATATTTGATATTTTGTAATAATTAGACTATTTCGTTCATTTCAGAACATGACTACAGATACAACAACTCTAGAAACTAATGAAACTGATCTAAGAAATGAATTGAAGAAGACTAGTTTAAGTACTGAATCACATTTGGTAAATATTTGATATTTTGTAATCTTTATACTATTTCGTTCATTTCAGAACATGACTACAGATACAACTGAAGACATTGGGGAAACAAAATCACTGCAATACGTGTACATCGTTGTACCATTAGTTATCTCTTTCCTTATTGTGTGCACTGGCTGTGGTGTTTGGCTATGGTTCTACAGAAGGAAGAGAGTTTATCAATAGTTCTCACAAACAGCTTCTCAATTGTTTTCATCAGGTTGACTGTCATATTTTCATTTTGTAATTTATGAAATACACTTTCTATTTTGTTAATCATTTCAGTAAATTGAAGATTGTTTACGTAATGACTGATGTCGCTTTGCTGGTAGAATATAAAAATATAATTTTTTGTGTTTATGTTATTGTTTGCATTCAATAAACACATGGGTAATTTCACAAGAGGTTACAAAATTGAATTAATTCAATTAACAGTATCGTGTATAAGTGATTATGTAACCATCGGAATCAAAAACGAGTTCGTTGTAAATGAACATTTGGTTAAAGTCTCAATACTGAGAAATGTCAATCGAAAGTGACGTCGTTCATTGTTGTAAACTAAACTGTCGGAATGCGAGATCAATATGTAACAAGGCACCTCAATCCCTCGTTATTTGACTATTCACTGTTGAGTGCAAGCTGGTTGACAGACTGTTGTTAATTAGTTGTTATGAATGTGTTGAATATGGAATAATTTTAAAGGGTCTAGCTGATACTCAAGTAGGAATGGAAAAAGATGTAGAGTGAATGATGAACTAGTAACAGTTCTGTCGTTGCATTGGTAATAAGATGAGAAATGTGAAACAAAAAATCACTGAAGTGTTTTCGTCAATGATTGATCACATTGTTAAACAAAACTTGCCCAATAACCGGTCCTATTCTCATGGATTTATAAGAAACTAGTCCAGTGTGAAATAACTAGTTTTGTAAAGTATCATAGTTTCCATCCCTTCAGATTGATTAAACGTTTTTAATCTGATTACTTTTGCTCTTAACTCTTTATCTAACGTTGATCTTAAAAAAAAATAACTCGTTCACACAACATTTGTCACTGATGTTTTGAATGGAATAATACCTCGTGTAAGATCCATTTTGAAGGTTTTGTGTGTTTATATGTGTGTGGGAATCCCTCCAAGTATACATTTGTAGTTTGTTTCTATTGTTATTCCTCTAGTTGTACATTTTGTGATTCTTGTTTATTCCATTTTAGTTGGTATTATTTGTATTCCATTGTAATTTTTATTTTTCTTACGTCTTCACTAAGTTTCCGTGTTTCTTCCTTAACTTCATTTATGTTGTGTTTACTTGATACTAAGTCTTGGCAGTGGCCATATTGGTTTGCATTGGTTTGTTCCTCCTTTTCATTGTGTTGATTGCATGGACTGGAATTGTGCATTTTCAATTGTGAATTGAGACACAATTCCAGAATTGAAAGCATTTCTCTAAATGTAGTGTGAGCGGTAATAAAGGCATCGAATGATGAAATCTATGTGAGACATTTCTCTCCCACACAAATTCTAAACAGCATTATAATATTGTCAGATTGAGTATCCGTTAAGATAGCAGTAATTTAAACATTTGGATTCATGAGTATTATACTAAACAGCCGTCCCGTGCTTTCATGTTCTTAATGGTGGACTAGCTCAGATTGATACATGGATTCAAGCATTGTCATGTTCACCATAGTAGTCTAATTTCACATCGCCAGAGGGATACACTCCATGTTTTATGCTATGCGACTCATTCAGTGTATGTAAATCTATCAGAAGTGTGACAAAACAGGAATCGCAAAAAAGACTTATCCTTATCATAAACAATGAAGTCAGTTGAACGATAAAACTGAGATGGTAAATGATTGGAGTAATTATTCATAGCTGGAGCAAAACCATCTATGAACTGACAACGAAAAAATTTGTTTTCACTTCAGCTTCTTTTTAGAAAAGCAGTAATTATATGTAAAATGAGAATTTCATTCATCTTTGATCTTTGTATGTCGGTGATTGTCAGCCAAATAAACGATGTTTTTTTATTGTAACCAACGTTCATGCGACATCCACGATACAGAATAGAGAATACCATATTATTTCAATATTAAGATAGACTGAATTGATAAATGATAACAAAGTACAATCATATATGATTCTATAGACAAAAGAGGTCAACAGAAATATGTTTGTTCATTAGACAAACACGTTGTCTACGTTAAGATTGAAGAAATAATCAATATTACTTTGCATATTTTATCGGATATTACAGAAATGATAGAACTTGATGTTATTTTATATTCAGTGCGATGAATCAGACAGAATTCTCAATTTTTCAAATCTTATTCCTCAATGCATACGATTTACAGGTCCATGGCGTTTGTATAAATCAATGATACCTTTGTACTTAAAGACTGTCCAAGTTCGAATTCTGAATACAATGCGTTCGTCTGGCCTCATCTAGTTGTCACGCAATATAACTCAATTTTTATCAGGAAGGATGGTTGGTGACTAGCAATGGAACCCATGATGCGCTTTTCTCCTTATTTGTGACTCGTCAGCTGGATATACCTGCATCCCAGAATTGATGTCCCTCCGTGACACAAATCCACTATCGTTCGTTTCAATCGGCATCGTGTTATTCACTTAGTTTGATTTATGTCTTGAATAATCGAAATCCACACAGATTGAATTCTGTGATATTTTGCTATCCAGTCATCATTTAAAAGTCTAGTTCATTCAACAATATGTTGAATGATACTTCGATTCCCGGAAAATTGTATCTTTCTAAGAGTATTAGTGTTATGCAGCTAATGTGATTTCGAGAAGTAATTCATCACCAAAGGCACAATATTCTATAAGTTTCCTCATTCTAATAAATCTGAACTGAAATTAATCTGGTTCTAATTGCTTGCAGACTTCATTATTGTAGAGATTCGCGAGTCGATCTGGAACATTACTTGATAGGTTCTTAGTGTCATTTATGATCAGGATGCTATAAAAATGGCGATTCGAACTATCACAAAGAAGCAAATATTTAATTATAAAGTGAAGATGAAAATGAAGTTCGGCTTCAGTCACTTCTGTTGGACATTATTGATAGATTTCTTTACTACTTATACAAAAATCACTAGCTTCAAACAGCGCATCAAAGCACCATAGTTTAATACATGATCTAATGTATACGAATATTCAGATAACCTCAACTATACTATTAAGATGTCATGATTATCTTCAGATGCAAAATGATCTTAGGGAAAATCATTCAGAATATTAGCAGGAGATATGCAGCATACATGAAAGAAGTTTCGTCATCATCATCATCATCATCATCATCATCATCATCATCATCATCATCATCATCATCATCATCATCATCATCATCATCATCATCATCATCATCATCATCATCATCATCATCATCATCATCATCATCATCATCATCATCATCATCATCATCATCATCATTTCAAAGCAGATTACAAAGTTGATATCAAGTTTGGTAAATGTTTGTCGCTTGGAAAACTTCATTCTCGTCGATCATGTTGATTTCGTAATGCCATAGGTCTTAAATGTGGTAAGATTGTATACATCCATTCAGTATGCAAAGCTTCTGTTCATTTTGCTTCAAGTAGTTCTAGATTTTGAAATTTAGATCTTATAATTTGGCCATTCCTAATGACCATTTATCTTTGTCAACCATTTCGAAAAATAATTCTCATATTCAAAAGCGATTATGTATATCTCTCGGTTCATATCATGACTTTATTGTGTACACGATTAGTAGAGAGTCTATTATTCATTCAAGACCATGAAATCTTTAGATCCTAACGTTGTGTTACGACCTACTGTAGCTTCAATATTGAGGATTACTGGACTCAGACAGCATATACGAGGATGTTGTGAATTGCTTATAAGTGATGAACTATACACCAAAATCTTGAGACCTATTTCATAATATTTCGCGGCCCTACTGTCTGTGATATTCAATATGTCACTTGACCATGGTGTGTTACCTATGGACTAGAAGGACGCAATCATCACTTCCATACAAAAAACAAGTCCTGTAAGCCTCACCAGTGTTGTAGTTAAAATACTGGAAAGAATAGTCAAACGGACCATAACGGCATTTGTGGAAAACGAATAATTTGCTAAACATAGAACAACAAGATTTTAGAAAGCATCTGTCTAGTACAATGAACCTCCTTATGGCAAGGGAATTTCGGATAAAAGTGCTTGACAACGGAAACTCATTGGATGTTGTCTACATAGACTTCAGTAAAGCTTTCGACAAGGTGTTAACTAATAGACTGTTATTGAAGTTGGAAAATCTTGGTATTTCTGAACCCTTTTTAAAATGGCTTAAGGATTTACTAGTAGGTCAAAGACAGAAAGTATTAACAAATTAGAAGTGCTCCATTCAGAGACAAGTAATTAGTGGAGTACCTCAAGGTTTCGTCTTAAGCCCTTTACTTTTTATACTGTGCAAATAACTATTAAGTATAGTACAGTCCAAAATGTTATTAACGCAGACGATGCAAAAATCCGGCGAGTCGTAACTGGAGATACAGACACATGTGCTCTTCAGGCACACTTAAATAGTATATTTAATTGGTCTAAAGAGTGTCTGACGCCGATCAACGCAGCGAAGTGTGTCTACGTGCGCTTTGGGGATTCAAAGGTTAATAGATACAGCAGAGAGGAAGTGACAGTACTTGTCGTCCGGTATCATAAGGATCTAGGGGTGACAGTGAGTCATGATCTTAAGACGGCGGTCCATTGCCAATAAGTCGCAGCTAAGCGGTTTTGAACCCTCTGGGCTTTAAAACGGACATTCAGCAAGTTAGACACTACCATGTTCATCACAGTGTACGCATCCTTACTGAGAACTAAGCTTGAAAACTGCGTTCTGGCTGCAAGCCCCTGTCTAAAAAGTGACTCGGATATCCTAGAGGAAATACAAAGGGAAGCTACCCGTGCAATTCCAGAACTCCGGGGTTTACCATACAAAGAGCGGCTTGAAAACCTGGACCTCTTTACTCTGTCCTATCGTAGACTAAGGGAAGATCTAATTTTGATATACAGAATACTGAGAAATGATTTTGAACCTAACTTATTTTCTCTTTTTCTTCCCACTAGGTCGGAACACCTCGAAGGACATAGCAGGGGAGTAGAAAAGACAAGAACGAACAAAATACCCGTGGTATACCGGTTTTCACACCAACTCATCAATAATTGGAACCTGCTGCCCGAAGCAGTGATGTCCGTACCTACGATTGGCTCTTTCAAAAGAAGACTGAACACTCACAGAAGAATACTAGAAAAGACAAAACATAGGCCGTAAACCTTCTGTCTTACTGGGCAAATCTGAATCTGGATCTGAAAACTGAATGTGAGATGATAATTCTGCATACATAGCTTGTGAATTTTTAGTAAGCGAAACAGGACTGTCAATATTAGTTTTAAAGAATTTGAAAAGGCTTAAAGTGGAGTTGTCCTTCCTACTTCCTAAAGAAAATTCTGATACTTTACTTAAAGATTTGATAGCTATGTGTGCTAAGTGCAGTGTAGGTATGAGAATTCAGCCTATAAAACTTCAAATACAGGGTGATCCAGTTTTTTTTAAAAGACGAATAATTCGTTATGGTCTTCAAGAATCAGTACTTAAGACATTAATCGATTTGTGTGCGAATGGCATAATTGAACCAACTCAGTCTTCAGCATGGAGTACTCCTATCGTTACGCCACTGAAGTCAGAAGGCAAGACCTCTATAATTTGTGGTGACTATAGATTAACTCTGAATTCCCGTTTGTTGAAGCAAACGGTAGAAGCTGGAAATATTCTAAATCGACTTCATGGTTCTAAAATGTTCTCGAATGTTGACCTAAAGTTCCTTTAGATGAATCTTCATCTATTTTGACGACAATTAACACTCCGTTTGGTCTGTTCAAATACAATTTCCTTCCATTTGGTCTAAGTTGTTCTCCAGCTATATTTCAGGAAGTTATGAATAAAGTAGTTAGTGATCTTAAAGGTGTTGAAGGTTATCAAGATGATCTCATTGTTCATGGTTCTAATAAGGTAGTTCATGACCAGAGACTTATTGCTTTATTGCGTCGTTTAATTGAGAATAATAATACAGTGAATGCAAATAAGTGTTCATTTTGTGTATCTAGTTTTGAATGCCTTGGATACCTCGTTGATGGTAATGGTTTTAGACCAGATATGAAACGACTAGCCCCACTGACTAATGCACCGTCTCCAAAAAATCTTACAGAATTACGTTCACTAGTGGGTGCTCTTCAATACTATTCCCGTTTTATTCCTAATTTTTCTTGCCGCGCAAATTGTTTATTTAATATTTTGACATCCAATTAATTCAAATAGGGTGAGGAACAGGAGTCGTGCTTACGAAGTGTACTAACGTTTCTTCAAAGTGATGCTGTTCTTCGAACGTACTCCTCTAATGTACATTCTGTGCTTATTACTGATGCGTCACCTGTGAGTATATGCTCACTCTTGGGGCAGGAAGATAGACCAGTTATTTGTATTTCACGCAAACATACTGGTACTGAACAACGTTATTCACATGCTCAGCGAGAAGCATTAGCTTTGTTTCGGGCTGTTAAAGGACTTCACAAATACTTATTCAGAAAAAAATTCACTATTGTTACTGAACATGAAGCTTTAAAGTTTATTTATCCCCCTTGAAAGTTCTTAGCACGTTCTAAGATGCTATGATTCAACGATGGGGTATTGCCTTGAGTGCGTATGACTATAAGGTTCAGTACAAAAGTGACAAACAAATTCAACACGTTGACTACATTTCTCGACAATCATTACAAGATAGACCTGCTAGTACTACAAACTGTTTGTTAGTGCAACCTTCACCAATGAGATATCCAGATCTCGTTACAGAAACTCGTAGATACTTTTAAATGCTATACGGAAAGGTTGGAATGCTAATCTGAAACGTAGATTTTCTGTCTATTAAACAAAGCGGGACGAGCTATTCACTACTCTTGATGGTACTTTATGTTTAAGTGATCGTGTTGTTATTCCTCTTTCATTGTGTAAATCCGTCATGAAAGATCTTCATAGTGGACATTTAAATGTAGAGAAAATGAAGTCCTTGGCGAGACTCACATGTTGATGGCCAGAGATAAATGCAGATATATGTTGTACAGCAAACAATTGTGCAAAATATCATCAGCTGAAAAATCAGCCTTTCAAGTGGACTCCATGGCCAGTATCGTCTGAGGCATGGCAGAGAATTCATGTTGACTGCTGTGGTCCGTTTCTTGGCAAGTACTATGCACTTGTAGTCATTGATTCTTTTTCATAGTGGCCTGAAGATTTTTTCACAACTTCACCAAATTCAGATTTCACATTCCAAGCATTAAGAAAGGTGTTTATTCGAGAAGGGGTTCCCATGGTGTTAGTGATTGATAATTGCTCTCAATTTGCGGCAGATGCAGTCACTACCTGATTGAATGGTATATTGTGAAAACATTTGTTTACTGCTCCCAGACATCCTTGATCGAATGGTTAGGCAGAAAATTTTATTAGAACATTGAAAACTGCTATTGATTCTATTGCCGCCTCAACATTTAGTGAGCCGTGAGTAGTGTATGTTCGAATCCAAATAGGAATTTCAGTTCGTCGAAATGTGTTTTGCTGATGAGTACCGATTGATACAAATTCTCAATCAGGAGACTCATACCGAATACCTTGACGAAGAGATGACTTTGATTTTTCGATCCAATTACAAAAACTGGTGGGATATATACCAATCCTTCAGAAGAAGTGAATATTTTACAGACTGTTGAAGATTATCGACACTTGAAAACTAATGTAAACAATGTTCGCTAATAAGCCTATGTCAACTGTCACAAGTATATTGCCGGTTAGTTTAATCGGTACAATGATATCGAATGGTTCAACAATAAGTCATTAAACAAGAGAAACTGCAGTAAGTTATGACCATACCTTAACTATCAGATTTTATTATATTTATCAGAGAACCCTGTAGCTTCATTTATTGCCGTATTAGCGTACAGTTGAGCTAACTAAATTGCTCTTACTGTTATTTTACCCTCATTATCTTCATAAATTATCATTCTATCCTTATTTTCTCTGAAATCATGAGTCAATCAATGTGAGACCACCATGCGAAGTCTTGAAACTTTTGGCGGCCGTTTCGTAATCGTACGAGACTCCTCAATTGTGCAAATGCACAATAACGCAAGCGTGAATACTACCCAGGACATTAGGTGCTGAGTGGAAAGCACTTAAACGTCAGACGACTCAACTGGCATACAACGATGAAACACGTCAATCTCCTCAACACTGTACTGACAATAAGCGTGTGTCCACTAGTGACTACATTCGATAGGAAATAATCAGAATTGTGCTGGGGATTCGTTACCAGTGCAATAAAACTTTGTTGGTTATGAGACGGTTACTTACTGAAGACAAGATAAGGTGGTC